TCCTGATTCATCTAGTTGTGGCCCAGATTGATTCAGTCTACAGTATAGTGCTGCATTTTTTTTCATCATTACTTTTGTTTGGATTATTTTTTATTGACAAACCGCTTTATGTTCCCCTTGGGTTGTCTTCCGCTGACCCTTAACAAATATTGCCATCAGACAGTGGAATGAACACGAGGTGGTCCCAAATATTCAGTAGTACCTGTTTGGTTTTTCATTTTCTTTTAGATTTGAATAAGCCAGTTCTCATAAAGTATTGGTAAACGCAGGTAAATTCCGATGAATTTATTATCAACGGACAGGCTTAAGACAGCAGATGATCACTTCGTAGTGACAGGTCTGACAGCTACAGTACGTGTTTCACTTTTGTTTGGGTGGCACTTTAACGAGGAGAGGTCCGAAGTCTAAGGGGCGCTTATATTACATCTGAAATAACTTTGCTGGAAAACTGAGCTAAACGCAAAAGGATAGAGGAAACTTAACTTATTATTGTTTCACAATATGCAAATTTATTGAAGTAAAGAAAAGAAAAGAGTTCAACCGGCCCACCGCATTGGTTGCAGACAACAACATGACCGCCGTTTCATATATTGTTTTGGAACCCCAATATGACTGCCGTGACTTCATGTGAACTGAACACTCTTGGCTCACTGTTTCGCATGAGCTTGAGCCAGACGTTTTTCCGCGCGTTATATGGTGCAATGGATTGGGCCAAACAATAAATGCTTACCTAGCGTAATTAACATTACGCCGAGGAAGCATTTGTTTTTAATCTTTACGACTTGCGACTGTTTTGGTGTTTATCCAATCTAAGGGAAAAACCCCGTACTTTCACTTTCGAATTGCAAAACAAAGGCTTCCACTTTGTTTGCTGAGGGGCTGAAGGAAGCTTAACATATGACATAAATGATAAGTATGGCGCCATCATCTTGGAACCGGAATGTGCTGACGCAACGGGGTTTTATCCCGGCAAAAATGCTTACAAAGCATGTTTTATCTAAAAGATGCTTACAAAGCATGTTTTATATAAAAGATGCTTACGAAGCATGTTTCACTCTCTCGACAAAGAAGGTTATGTTTAGACTGATTTGAAGTTTATCAGTACTGAACGTATTTTGATAGGCTTTGGAGATCGCGTAACCAACTTTCATTTTCTAAAGTTGTCAGCAAACTCACATTTGACTAAACACCTGGTTACAAAGACGCAACGGCAATGGAACCGACAGGCCAGAACATTTTTACCGCAACACTGTGGAGATCCTCGCCACAGTCACGTCCCGCAGAGCATTCTTCAAGACGATTGACAATAACATATCCACCTGCTTGCACTAAAACTGTGCCAGCAGTCTGGTGTAGCTTTGATATCTTTTATATTTCTGTTATATCCAAGATTAGCTTTGGCTTGTGATGACAAAGCAATAATGCAATTAACATCAGAATACAGCATAGGTTGTACTCGGCAGACGGTGACGAGGCTGAAATGAACTACGATTTGTGTTGTTCTCAGGCGTAATATCTCAACTTGAAATGAGCTCTCTCGACTGTTCCAAGGCATTTTTCCCCTACAAATATCGATTAAGTCAAAGAGCTTGTATTCCACTTTATGTACATCATTATGGCACGGTCTTGCTATATATAGGCAGATATTTCTTATTTTTCTATAATTATGGGCTGGCCAGGTGAAAACAACGACTAGAGCGCACAATTAGCGTGCGTCCTGAAAGTTCTTCTTGTTTTGTAGTTGCGTGTGTCTTTTTAATCTTTATTTCTATATCAGACGTGCGAACAATTTGATACACAAATATTTCCTTATGAGGTCATACCGGTCACTTGACTACATTCATTATGTGCTGTAATTACTTTCACTTTCGTCGATGACGGCGCGATCCAGATCGAGAGCATGGAACGCTTTTTCAACTTTCGGTTTTTGTTTCGATCAATTTTTCAATATGGCAAAGTAACTATTCTGGTTCGAATTTGCAATCGAACCAGGATTTGTTACTTATTAACGTGCTTTAGGCGAATCGACCGCGGTAGAAGGTAAGTCAGGCTGACAATACTTAAATCAGAATCTTACTATTGCTGCTATGTTTTTAGTGGCTAAAATGGTTCGTAAATGACTAGATGCGATCATTTTGGTTTCTAGTCTGTTAATCCAAACATAGTCTCGAATCTTAACTGCATAACGACGAGACAGTTGTGATAAAATGGCAGAAAACTTGAGCGAAGAGAAGTTTCCATCTTGATGACCATGGACGGTTTGGACCGGAAAGAATTCCGCTCTCCTTCGTCGAAGGCCACTGATTCTTTTTTGTTGACATCGGCCCCTTAGTTTTTTCGCTAACTTGTTTGATCGCATCCGAAGGGGTAATGTTGAATACGGCGGCTAGCGACGACCGATCGTTTTGGGGGCAGTGCCAAAAAGCATAATGCTCGATTTTAGGAGCATAATGTGTCAACCCCTAGATTGGCCCATGACAATTTAGGGGTTTTTCCCTTGTATTGTCGTCTTTGTTTGTCAGAAGAGCCTCGTGACATTCAAGTGTCAGCTGTCATTTTGAAACTACTTAAGGGTACGTTTCTTTTAGAAACGGAGCCTTAAATGTGTTTTCAGTCAATGCCAGCGAAGAAAACTTGAACAAACATGGCAAAACCGAAGAGGCCAGTAACTGGCTCACAAATGTAATATCGTTTAATCGAAGTTTTGGGGTGTAAGAACACAGATATGGTGACTCCAATACTGTATTCAATGCAACACCAAAAACTAGCTCTCTGCCAAGTGTTTGTTGCATCAGTGCGATTTAATACCTTCTCCTTGAAATAAAAATGACCTGGCTTTCGTTTTAGAGCTGATTCAGCGAATTTAAGGGGAATCTCCAAGGTACAAAATACCTAGTCTAAAAACAGTAGTCAAGTTTAGTGTTGTTAAATTAGGACGTCATTCCGATGTTGTACATCAATGATCACGGATTGAGTATTGGGTCTGTTTTCACTTATACAGTATTAACAGAGTAAATTTAAAGTCTCGAATAAATCCGTTTTCGTTTTAGGCCGTAAGATTTACAAGCTGCCTTGCTGTCGAAGAAACTGGACAAGTGGCGTGAAACTTAGGAGTCGACTTGGTAATGCGTTATTGAACTGAGGTGAGCATACCTGTTTAATTTCTCAGTATATTTGTATCTTTCTATTTATCTTGAGAGCGGACAATGACCAATCAGTTACTTCAACATCATTAGTAGGCTCTACGCCACTGCTATTTTGTGGTGAATTTGCAGTTCCATACTGAACATTAAGTCGCAAGACTAGATGGACTGCTTCAGTGGTACCTTATCACATGAAATTTTGGCGACACGTTTATTTCGCGATTTTGAGGTGTGCATATTTCGCGACACTTAAATTCCGCGATTTGCGAAAATTTTGTATTTTGAATCACTTTAACTTCGCGTTTTCGAGTAACACAGAATTCATTTCAATGTTACTTAAACATGCTCTTGAATTTAGTAAACCGACTTTATCAGAGGCACAATAACGTTAAAATTAACAAATACGCAACTGCTGGACTATATGTTAACAGTGAGTAACATCATTTTAGTCACTTTAATTTCGCGACCTTTTTAAATCGCGATATTCACGAAATTTACGTGTCGCGAAAATTTCATGTAGTAAGGTAGCTAATGGCCCGTAGCTAGGTTGTTGAAAAGTTCAGTAGAATGTTTTAGGAGGCAATTTAAAGATCGCCTGGCTCCACACTACGCTGGAGAAATTTGAAAACGCAGTTTAATTGGTCTTAATTCCTACGGTTTGGCCTACCGTCCACACTAATCCGTCACGAAAATGGATCTATTCGAAAACGCTCTTCAAACCGGAGGAATTTGAAAACGCCGGCTTTGCGTTTTAGTGTGGAGGGAAAATATTTTAAAAACGGAGCTTTTGGAAAACGATGTTTTCACGATAATCATGTGATTTCCCAGCCCGAGTTTTCCTCAAACAAACCCAGAATAGCCGGTGATCGTGACGGTTTCAGTTTTAAGTTTCTCCGGCGTAATACGGATGGAAAACATTTGATGCATTTTCAGATTGAAAACTTCGTTTTCAGATGTAGTCCGGCGTTATCTGGACGGGACCTAAGTTGTTCTATTTCCCAAAGTTTTGCTGAGTTGACGCCGGGGGATAGACACTTTTCATCTCTTGTTTCTTTTCGCTTTGAGATATCGGAGATGTCCAGATTTCTTGCAATCGAGACGTGTATGTGACCTTGTCTGTGAAAACAAAGTATGACGATGAAACACGAGTAGCGCAGGCAACAGCAAAGGGCGCTTTAGCGGGATAGAACGCGAAGCGTAACATCTGGGCTCGAAGTAACGAAAAACAAACCCAGTTGTGTAATTTTGTTTTCTCCTCTCTCGCGCTCCCCGCGCGTTAGGATCCTCATCATTAATTAACCGTCGCAAATTCGTAAATTTAGGGAAAGGATTGATTTGGGTTTGACGTTTACCAAACATGCCACTGTGGTCATGCACATATTAAGACTTAAGGACAACGCGGTTGCAAAAGCAATTTAGGCATCTGGATTTAGAGTCGCGAGGCCCATCTCTCAAATCTTTCGCATTGCCACTACGTGGTGGTAATCCCACGTTCAAATCCTCATCTGTGATATGTTGACAGCAACTCATCGATTGGGAATTTTGCGAGCTTCTGGTTGATAAGCAAATTATTCGTTCGTTTAATTCCATTGTCTTCATTTTGGTGATTACGGCATGTGGGCTGGG